GGCGGGGGCCGGGGCCGGAGCGGGCGGCGAGCCCGGAGACCGTCCGGCGCGTGCGGGCGGGCGTGCGCGCTCCGCCGTCCGAGTCGGGGGCGGGCGGGCCGCGGGGGGGGGGGGGCGGGGGGGGGGGGGCTGGAGGGAGGTGGGGGGGCGCGCGCGGCGCCCTGCGCTCGCGCCCGCCCTCCCTCCCGAGCAGCCGCCGCCGCCGCCGCTCTGCCGCCGCCGCTGCCGCCGCCATCTTGGGCTCGCTTTGCGGAGGGGGAGACGATCCCCGGCTCGCTGGCGGGACCGCCTCCCCCCGGTGGCCCCTGCTCAGCCCCACGCCTTTCCCTTCTCCTCGCTCGCCTTTCCGCCAGTCCGCGCGCCCGCGGGCCGCCTCCTGACAAGCGGCGGGGCTCCGCCGCCGACGCGGGGACGCGGAGGAGCCTGCTGGCGGCCGCCCCCCTTCCCCGCTTCCCTGCGCTCTCCGCTCGCTCGGCCGCGGCCTCTGACACGGTGAGCACGACCGCCCGGGAGGCCTCGGGCCTAAGCGCTCCGTGAGCGGGGCGAGCCTGCGCGGCCCGGGAGCCACTGTCACCTCCCGGAGCGGGCCCTCCGCGGAGCGGCGGCAGGGGTGGGGGAGGGGAGGGAGGCGAGGGGGTCCTGCGCGGCCCGGGAAGTCCCTCCCGGCGCGGGGGAGGGGGGGTGGGGGGGTGTCCCCGCCGCGGGCGGGCTCCCGGCCCGGGGGGAGGGGGCGGAAAGTCGGCGGGCGGAGGCGGAGTCGCCCGGGCCCCTGACAGGTTGGAGCTGGCGCGCCGCGGGGGCGCGGCGGGAGCATCCCCCGGGGCCTGGGCAGAGCGGCCCGGGGGGCGGGCTGGGCCCCGGCGGTGCGCGGCCGCCGTCGGGCCGGACGTCGAGCGGGTGTCCTGGGCGGCGGGGACGCGGAAGGCCGCGTTTTCGGTCTGGGCGGCAGGCGGGGTGTGTGCGTGCGCGCGAGGCAGGAAAGTGTTCCGCAAGAGTTGGCTCGGGTCGGCGCGAGGGCGCCGAGTCCCCCTCGCGGGTTACCTCGTCTGTGGGAGAGAAGCGCGGGTGTTCCCTTCCGGCCGACGCGCGTGTGTGTTGTAGGAACGGGAGGCGCCTTCCTGCCGGGGGGGGGGGGGGGTCATGGCGGTGTCGCTCTCGGCGGAGCGCCTCTGCGCGAGGCCGCGGACGGGGGCTCCCGTCGTGGCTGTGGCCTGGGGAGGAGTTCTCTGCCCGGAGCGGGCCGTCCGTGCGGCCCGGGACGTGTGCAGGCGAGAGCCGGGCCCGCGAGGCCGGGGGGAGGCCTGAGCCGGCGGCGGCGCTGACGTGGGACGCAGCCGTCCAGCGCGGGCTGTGCGGCCTCCCAGCCCCGTGGGCAGGTGGTGGGGCGGACGGTCGCCCCCGGGTGTGAGGCAGGAAGACAGCCTGTTTGCAAGGTCACACGCTTGAAGTTGGTGAGCAAGCGGAGACGCCGCCTCAGGTGTCGGGAGCGCCCGTCGGCAGTCCGTCCCCCGCGCGCCTCGGGCACCTCAGGGGGTCTCGTCAAGCCAGTCGGGGCCTCCGAGAGGGGCGCATGCGGCGGCTGCATCGTCGCCGCCAGAGGTCAGCTGTGTCCCACGCCTGGCCGGGTCATAGCTTGGCCTGCAGGGGTGGGCATCCACGGCCAGCTTCCTTCTCGTTTGTGGAGGAGCCGGGGCGTTTCTGACGCTTCGCTCGTGGACTTGAGGGAGGGGGGTCTTCCGCAGCCGGAGCCTGAACCGCAGCAGCTGACCGCCTGCCCTGAGGTCTGTGGGAGGGAGGACCGTCTTTCGGTCACAGCCGGCGGTTATTGAATAACTCCTCAGTAAGTGGTCGTGCCTTGGGCTGAGAACAATCGAGGCGAGCCTGCTGAAACGGGCGCGGTGCTCTGAGGGGACTTGCCCTGACAGCGGCAGGTTATTAAGCCCAGCAAGGAGGACGAGTCCGTGTTGGGATTGAAACTAAAACTTTCCTGAAAAGTCTGTGCAGTGTGGGGGGATTTACGGACCCCAGACATTCTTACGGGGAAGGATACAAGCCCGTTCCCGGTCTGAAAGCAGGCAAGTTTGCGGTACAGGGTGCCTCACGCCTTTTCTTTTGGCATTTATGAATAAACTTTTGAGGGTCTGCGAATTGTTGCCGTCCATTCCTGTGGATAGTGGAACTTTTTGGCTCAGCTGAGGTTCTTTAAAGACGAATTTTGCGTTAAGGACCCCGTCAGTGGATACGAGAGGAAAATGCTCGAACTAAGGCAGCTTAACTGTATTATCTCTGGAAAACAGAGTTTTTGATATGCTAGATTAGTAGTTCTTAAAGTTTTTTGGGGTCACTTATCCTTCTAAGAATCTGATGAAAGACCCTCACTGTTAAGTGAGCGTAAGCACAATCACGCAAATTATGCATACAATTCCAGGAACTTAAATTGTCTTGAAGTAGAACCTTTTTATATTTAGGTCTCATCTGAAAGCCTTTTAAAATACATAGAGCTTTGTTTGGAGATGAAGATGTTGGTATGAGTTTCAGGTGAAAGATTCTGTGACAGTTTTTGAGTGTGCTGAATAGTAAGGAGAACTTTAAGGTCATGTCTTTTATTCTTTTATTTTTTTTTTAAGATTTTTATTTATTTGAGGGAGAGGGAGAGAGAGAGAGAGAGAAACAGCATGAGAGGGGAGAGGGTCAGAAGGAGAAGCAGGGGAGCCCGATGTGAGACTCAGTCCCAGGACTCCGGGCTCATGACCTGAGCCGAAGGCAGTTGCTTAACCAACTGAGCCACCCAGGCACCCTTATTCTTTATTCTTTACAAATTCCTTTTTGCAGTGTTAGTACGTGATTCTGAATTAGGTGGTAAGAAGATATATTGCTCAAATATTTATAGCTTTATTCTTTTCCTTTCTATTCTTAAACTTCTCTTTCCAGTTTTGTATTGGGACTGAAGCTCCTGAGGCTCATTTACTGGAGTTTATGTTATGTATAACAAACATTATCGACTCAATTCTGTGCGGGAGACACAAAGCTGAGTAATATATGGCCTCTGTCCCTGGAGAGATTCTAATCCAGTAGAACCTAAGGATTCTGTGGTGGTGGAGGTTTTCAAAAGGGCAAAGAGGAGGGAAGAATATTCCTGGAAGTCGAGGTTTCATGACTTAATTGCGGAGTTTTTGCCGTTAATAATTCTCGGGAAGCTATAAAGTCTTCCCACTCTCTATGCAACTTGTAGCTGTGATATGTCTTTTGGTATCATCTGGTGTTTTTGAAAAGGAGGCACACTTTGGTTGCATTTCTTATCTTGTTTTCAATGTATTTCTGTGGTGAGTTTGTAACAAAGGTCTTAATGTAATTTTTTTGGGTGTACATGCATCCAGGAAACTCTTCTGAGGTAAAATGCAGGAGCTATTTGACAGACTACCCATGAATCTAGTACTGGAAATTTAAAATAATCACTGCATTTTTAAAAGAACAAGAAATTCAGGAAGGTGTTTGGATAGCACAGATTACAGTATTCGGTAAGATAACGGAAAGATCTGAAGAAAAATGGTGTGATTGTCTCTTCTCTGTAAGAATGTCTTGGAAATTTGTGAAAAGTTTAATATTTTCTCTAATTTTTACCTTGGGTAGTAAATTTGTGGGTTTTTAAAATAACATGTTATACACATGTGTGTAGTGCATATAGATACATATTTATATAGTCTTGGACGTATGAGATACTTCATTATTTAAAAAATAATGCTTGTGGGGCGCCTGGGTGGCTCAGTCGTTAGGCGTCTGCCTTGGGCTCAGGTCATGGTCCCAGGGTTCCTGGGATCGACCCCCGCATCAGTCTCCCTGCTCCGCAGGAAGCCTGCTTCTCCCTTTCTCACTCCCACTGCTTGTGTTCCCTCTCTCACTGTGTATCTCTCTGTCAAATAAATAAATAAAATAAAATAAAAATAAAAACAGTGCTTGTAATAATTACAAAAAATTATTCAGGATCTTTAAGGATCAGGTAATGAAAGCAATTTTCCTGTCATATTTTTGAGTTGTGTTCTAAAATGTGGAGCATAACTTTATTCCTATATATCTTGCTAGGCATTGTGTCTTTATGGCATTAGCAGTACCACGTGAGGTTTTATCCTGTCTTCTTCCAGGACTTACAAATAAAGAAGTGGCCACATTCAGTCCTGCCAAAATGATCTGCCTATACACAGTGGAGAAGTTTTACCATATCTGTAGGTGATGCATCTCTAGTTAAAAATTTCATATTTCTATTTGAGTTATGTGTGTTGGTCTGAGTCGTTTAAAGGTAATATACAGTCTTGCTGATGTCTGCTGTGAGGTCTACTTTGTGTCAGCCTTTCTGGAAGCATGAAATGTCTTTAAACCTGGTTGCTGTAAAAGAGGGAAATGAAAGTAATTTTTGTTTTGAGTTATTTTGCTACTTTTTTAAAATTATTTTTTTCTTTAAATTGTAATTTTTTGTTTATATTTTGTATGGAGAGGTTAGCTTTTCAAACTTATGATTTGTTTTCTTAGTTAATGGTAACTGTCAATCTTACATTTCATGAAATCAGTATTTTAGTGACTGCCTCATTGGGGGTGGTTAATGGCAGTGTGATGTTGACACAACATAATAAATTACAGATTTAAGTGATGACAGAAATTTAATAACCTTGTTATTTCAAGAGTTGTATTGCCTTCATTGAACATCTAACTTTTGTATATTTGAAGAATCTATAAAATTTATTTTAGCATTAATTGGTTTTGCTTTTCCTAGTTTTTAGTCGTTTGCTCTCAGACATATGCAAGTTGACGACAGGATTGTATACTTTTTCCATTTTATTTTGTTCATTTTTTAAATGTGGGAAATTTCAAACATACAGAAACGAAGAGAATAGTGTAGTGAGTTCTTATGTACTCAACATCCAGCTTCAGCAGTTACCACCACCCAGTCATCACACTGTATATATCCCCATCTACTGGCCTCTCTGCCGCCTCCCCTGCTCTGCTTTGCTTATTTTGAAGCAAATCTTTTCAGATACTACATAATTTCATTCATAAATACTTCAGTGTATGCATTCTTTTGACACTTTAATGGGGAATTATTTCCCCATAGTTAGGTCTATATAACTTTTTAAATAAAAGTATCTGATGATAAGTGGAATTGAACTACTTCTAATCTATTTTACCTGTCAATAGGGATTCCCCCTGCAAACTGTAAGAAATGAACGGAGTAGAATTCACCTCACTGGGGCGCCTGGGTGGCTCAGTTGTTAAGCGTCTGCCTTCGGCTCAGGTCGTGATCTCTGGGTCCTGGGATCCAGCCCCGAGCCCCCCCATCAGGCTCCCTGCTCAGCAGGAAGCCTGCTTCTCCCTCGCCCACTCCCCCTGCTTGTGTTCCCTGTCTCGCTATCTCTCTCTGTCAAATAAATAAAAGTTTAAAAAAAAAAAAAAAAAAGAATTCACCTCACTGCTTTTTAGATGTTTGCATTGAAAAATGCAAA